ATAATGGCTCACTGTTTGAACGCGCCGTTTTGCATTTAAACCTATATATCACCGAGGATTTCTTTTTTTTTATTCTTTCCCGGTGCGGGACGGGGGCGGTTCCGCCGAGCATCGCTCCGTGCGGAGCTCCCGTGAGGGCCGCTGCCCTCAGCTCCGCTGTCACCGTCCCCTAAAGGTTTCGCCGCACCGGACGGGACCGCAGTCCGAGCCGCGGGGGGAGCGCAGCATCCCGAGCCTCCCCGTCCCGTCGGGGGCGCCGCGAGCCCTCGCCTCCTCGCCTTCACCCCCATCTCCCGCTCCTCCCCACCGCCGGCCGTGCCATTACCTGCAGCCGAAGGGCTCCGCGGGAAGGCTCCGCCGAGGCGAGGCGCCGAGCGGCGGCTCCGCGGCACGGAAGGGGGGGACGAAGCGCTCCGCGGCCGCGCTCACTCGGCGGGCAGCCCCGGCGGGGCGGGCTGGGGGCCCCGCAGGGCAGCGCGGCGCATCCCCCGCGGGGCGCGGGGCTGGCGGCGGCGGGGCGGCGAGGCAGGAGCCCGCCCGGCGTCCCGTCCCCTCGCTTCGCTGCGGCGCTACCGCCTCACAGGGGCGAGCCCGCCGTGCCCGGCGCCAGCAGCCTCCTCCCCCGCGCGGGCATCGCCGCGGGTCCCGCTCCGCTCCATCCAGCCGCCCTCCCCGTGCCGCAGCAGCTTTGTCAAGTCGACAACCCCCCTCCTTTTTTTTTTTTTTTTTTTTTTTTCCCCTCTTTTTCCTCCTCCCTCTCTCTCTCTCCCTCTCTCTCACTCCACACGCTCCTCCAACTCCTTCCTCCCTCCTCCCCTGGTCACTCCCCCCGCTGCAATCCGAGCCGTTTCCTGGACGGCGCTGCTCGGCTCTGCCAATCGCTGCGGCCGCGGTACGGAGCCCCTGCCCCCGTCGCCCAACCCGGCCCGCAGCGCTGCGCCCTCGGTCCCGGCTCCTGCCCCGCTCCGGTCGCTGCTCGGCCCGGCGGGGAGGGCGAGGCGGCCGCCCCCAGCCCGCACGCAGCCCTCACGCCCTGTCGGCACCCGCTCGCGGTACCACCGCCGCCACCTGACTGCAAGGGTGGTACCCGGCAGGATTTGGGGGTCCTGAGGGGTTACTGGTGACACCCAGCAAACACTGCCCGTATGCACAGCGTGGGGTCGGCTGTGCGTGTGGGTGATGTTTGAGAGCAGCAGCGGTGCCCGAAGAAGGACGGCAGTCGGGTAGCACTGCACACGCTCATTTAAGGCGGTGCATAACATCGGTATCTAAAATTGAGCATGACTTAATAAAGCTCTTACTTTAGATACCATTAACTAAAAGGTTGCGAGCGCAGTCCGTGCAGTGCTTGCTCTGTCGAATCAGCCTGACAACTGAATCGATAAGCGGTGCTCGCCTCAAATTAAATCAGTGCTGATCAATGCAACGTTACTTTATGTGAGCTCAGCTCTGCCGTGCATCCGATCTGTTCTGTGCACTATTGATTGGAGGCTCTCAAGGACTGCGGCCGCACAGCAGTGGTGCCCCGTATTTACACACTTTCAAGCACCAAAAGCTGAAAACAAGTTTTGTGTGCACCGTGTGCCTACCTCCCAAATAGTGCCTTTCCCACTGCCACCAGCAGCAGCGAGGGGCAGCAGACGAATTTGTAGCCCATCAGAAACGCAACTTTCATTCTTACTTTGTTGCTGCTGTTCCTAAAGCAAGAGACGTTTCAGTGTTCTAATTGAGGAGCTGCGATGTCACAGTCCTTTTTTTGTTTTGTTTTGTTTTTTCCCAGCTCCAGGCATGTCCACTGCCCTTTGAAAATACCCTTTAATGCATTCTCACATAAATTATTGGCCGACACAGGAAGCTGCAATACCTTTCCCCATTCATCGGTATCTTTGCACGCTCTGAAAGAAAAGGAAGCATTCCTCTAAAAATGACAAATCAGAACACCTATCCTCAGTGTCTGGAAGCACTTGTCAGAATTTATTCTTTTTTGGGATGAAAAGATAGCAGTCTATCAATGGCACCCTATTCTCTCCAAGGAGCCTCATTCTCCTAAAGTGGCCCACAGCGGCCCGAGTCCTCCATCTGAGAAAAGCAGAAGCATGTTTGGAATTAAAAGGGGGGGTAGGGGGGCAGGGTGGGAGCAGGGGGGATCAATTCTGTCATCATATTTAGGCTTCAAGAGATCTCAGTGGGCCCAGGGAGCCTTTCACAGCAGCGAGGCCGCTGAATGAGGGCATAATCTCTTTACAGTTTTTTCCTCCTCCTCTCAAAGTGGCTGGGATCTTTTTGTGAGCCCTCCTGCACGTGAATGGTGTGGCTAATAAGCCTATTAATGAGGTTCCACAGAGGAGTGTGAATAGGTAAATAAGCCCCAATCTGTTGAGGTTCAGGAGCAAGGGCAGTAAAGCCATCACGAACTAAAGGTGACAGTTTGAACTGGAATAGGAACAACAGCTCCAGGTTTCAGGCGAAAGAAAGGACAGACAAGGCGCGCATTCAGGCTCCTTCTACCCCCTACCGAGCTCTATTTTCTTTCCCATTCTTCCTCCTTTATAAAATGCCTTGAGTAGTCACCCCTTTTTTCAAAAGCTCTTGAGACGTCCTTTTTCATCCTGGCAATGATACATCAATAGGGAGGAAGGAAAATGAGGACACCAATGCTCCTTTGCGCCGCTACTTTCAAAAGCGCCAGCGGTGCCGTCCCCGCGCACACGGAGGCGGAGGGGGGGGGGGGGGGGGGGGGGAGGAGAAAGCAAGTTAAATTGAATCTTTCAGCGCTACCAGCCCTTTGTCACCGCTGTCAGCTGGGCCGCGGGTCCCATCCGAAGGCAACGGCGGTGCGGGGCTGCGCGGTGCTCCCAGCTTCGGGGCACGGCCGGGCCCGGAGAGCCGGGGATGCTCCCACACGGTGCGGTCCAGCATTGGGAACGTGCTGGACTCCGTGCTGCCGGAGCCCAACTCTAGAATGGAACCGAAGCAGAAAACAAAGTACTTGTGTCCGTCGAGAGGTGAGGCAGGCGGCTAATTCCGTGGAGCAACGTGGGAAAAGCCACCTTAGAAAGAACCGCAAGGCAAAGCTGCTGAGAGCTCCTCTGCTCGGCTCTTCGCAGCCTCTTTGAGAGGTGAAATCAGGAGCTGCAGCGAAGCGCAAGGCACGGCTCCGCACAGCGCACGGAGCGCTCCTCCAATACCAGCCCGCCCTCCAGGCTCGCTAACGTGCCACGTCTCTATCGGGTGGAAATAGAAATAGAACAGAGAACAAAGAAAAAGGGAATCCAACCAAGAAAAAAAAAAAAAAAATTAAAAAAAAGAAGGAAGGAAGACGAATAAAGAAGTAAAAAAAAAAAAAAAAAGAAAGAAAGAAGAAAAGCCTACACATTAAAGCTCTAGGGGACTATAGGGAAAAATCACCTGCATCCTAATGGAGCCATGCACATGACCGAGGGCTCAGCTACTCCTCAGAGGACAATGGGAAAGCAACACTTCTTCCCTGTTATTTTGGTCCACTCTAAAATTTCTTCTTGACCCTGCTGGATACAAGTAAATATTTGTCCAAGATGTATTTTCTTTGAAGTTCTTCTACAGCTAAGTGCCCAAACCCAAACTTTGGCAGCTAAAATATTTACCTGGTTTACAAAGTATTTCACAGACTCACTGAATGGCTTGGGTTGGAACCCCAAGGTTCACCAAGTTCCAAACCCCTGCCACACGCAGGGCCATCAACCTCCATATCTAACACTAGACCAGGCTGTCCAAGGCCCCATCCAACCTGTCCTTGAACACCTCTAGGGATGGGACATCCACAACTTCTCTGGGCCCTTCCCTGGTAGCAGCAAACAGTTTCTTAGGATGCCAAAACAAACCACTTCTGAAAATCTGGGCTCAGTAGCTCACATTCCTTTCAAAGGTAGGCAAAGTTGCTCCACATGTTTGTCAGAGACTTGGGGGAAAATAATTTCACATTGATGTAAAAATGAGTCCATTCTAATTTTAAAAACTGCCGCTTCCATCACAAATCCTCGCTGTGTTACTTCAAGATGCTGCTAAAATGAAAAAACAAAAATGTATTTAAAGTAAATAAATAGATCCAGTAATTACCCATGAAAGTGTAAACCGTTGGCTACCAAGTTCTTTTGCAACAAAACGTGTGTGGGAACAGAGTTTTCATAAAGAAACTATTTTGCAACAACCAAACTCACTTTGGTTTGATCTCTCTCTCCATTGTGCACATCAGAATCTAAGAAAGTAATGCCAGGCAGATGGAGAAAAGAAATCTTCACCACCGTGCACTTGAGTACTAGCACTGCCTCCAGATTGCTATGCCTTCTGGCCATATAACCTCTTCAATACTCCTCATTTTTTACATCCTAAGGTAAAAAAGTCACAAAAATAATAGTTGTCATTACTCAGTGCTGTGAGATATATTGAAACAGGAAACGTGCCGTGTTTCGGTCAGGGTATCACCCTGGGTAGTGGGCATTTGGTGCTTTCAGCCTTTCTACATCAGCTCTCCTATACAACCCCTAGGAAAGTCACTTAATTTGCTTATGTCCAAACTTTCCAGCTATGAAATGAGGATAATGGCTATTTCCTGCCTCCCACCCTTTATTCATCTCATCTATTTAGATGGTAAGCTCCTCATCTCAGACAACGCTTTTATGCATGGCTTAGAACAATAAGACGCTGAGCTCAGCTGGAACCTCCAGGCACTTCCATAATGCAGATATTGAACACTGAATTATCAAAATAAAAGAAAATCCTCAATTTATTATGTGTTCCCTCATAAAGAATCTGTTACACGGTGTCCTACAAAGCACCTCTGGCTACTGGGGAACAGCATCTCTTCTAAAACAGAGGAAAGCAGCACCCATTGGTGAATGTCTTTGAGCAGTGAATCCTCCAAGCAGAATCAAAATGAATAAAAATCTCAGTGCTGAGCAAGACAACAAGACAGAGGCAGACTTTTGAAAACAAGAAGGCAAAGGCTGCCAAGACCATTTGTCATTCCATTGCAGCTCTTGAATCTTTGCTGGCCAGCATGCTTTTCATTTCTGTTGATCAATAGGTGCAAGTTTGTTTCACTAAAACTCTGCAGTCCAACCAGACAGACCCGTGGTCATGGGCTTGGGGATCTCAGAGGTCTTTTCTTAATGATTCTATCTCCAGCTTCACCATGGAGGCCCACCTGCAGACATCAGCCAGGCTTAGTGGCTGAAACACTTACAAAAGCAAGATAAAGTCATTTTTTAACTTTCTATAACCCTGGAGAATACGTTGGTAATAAAGTATTAAATGTCTACAATTAACATCCTTTCTCATTCTTCTCAGCCCTCAAGCTTCTGCAAGCCCTTCACACTACATGTACTCCCCACCTTTTGCACACAATCTCGGTCTCCTAGTAGAGTTCTCACAGGATTTTGATTTATGTCTCTCCCAGTGAAAGTCATGCCCTTACCTCCACCAGTCCCCAGGTGGGAGGGGAAGACCTCCTTGCCCACTTTGCCAGGTGATTGAGGTGCCCACAACTGCATTTGAGAAGCTGGATTGCCCTGGAGTGAAACCAGCGTTCTGCCTCCATGTAAACAGAGGTGCCTCGAGGTTTAACAGCCCATGTTGGTTGACTCTGTAACTGCATTTGCAAGCTGCCATCCGTAACTGGGACTAAAAGGTAATTGTCCAACAGACAAAGGCCAAGCACAAACAGAACTGTTTGTTACATATACATGAAGTTCCTTAAGCAAAGGCCGTAGGTTTTATCACAGAAAATTTTCCCATGCCACTACAAGCCCACCCCACCCTCACACAGACCCAGACATGCACCTTTTCTCTTCACGTTCCAGTATTTTAAAGGGAGGGTTGCAGGACAGCTCAGTTTGCATGAAATCCAGAATTGGATTGCTGAATATTCATGCCCAAAGCAATGGGCATGCATATATGTATGAACATACAGCAGCATTTCAGGGCTTCTGAGAAGGCCTGCTTTTGATTTAGATGGCCAAGGTGAGGTCCTAAAGATCCTTTCCATCCCTTACCAGTTAAAGCAGTTTGCATCAGTGCTTTTTGGGTGAGGAAACCCAAAAACAATCAAACATGGCTCTTCTGGGGCCAGCTGAGCAGAGAAACAGACACAGAGGGAGACTTTCTGGGCTGCTAAATGCAATCGATCAGGAAACGTTTTACATTGTGGATGGAAGCGAGGAGGACAGAAACTTGATTACAGGGGAGACTTAGTTAAATATTCACTGGGATTCATTATGTGAAAACCACTAGAAAGGAACGTGTTTCTACAGGCAGGGTTGGGCTGTTTTATCCTAGCTTCTGTTGTAAAATGCTGCTGAAAGCTGCATAGAAGAGCTGCCGTCCTCTAGTGGAAGGAATATGGCAGGTCTGGTAGATGTGCAGAAACTCTTCTGCTCGCTCTTCTTGCCTGTTAGGGTTAATTTATCAAATGGAGCCTTGCAGAGCCAAAGGGGCTTGATTATTTGATGACCTTGCGTTTGACAATCAGGCAACACGAGCATTTTAGGCAAAAGGAATGTCAGAGACAAGGTGCCTAAAGTCTTAGGTCTGTCGCTCACTCGATCTGAAATAATCAATGAGAGCAAGCTGCACAAAAGCTCTGAGGCTGAGAAAGTCACACAGCCTTCTCCCCCAGCCCGGCCATGGCAAGGTGGTGGCTGGGTCACAGCTCATCTGGCTCCTGCTTCTCCCACCTTGCAGCACGCGCTTTCCCCTTGGCTGGGAGGTGTTGAGTGAAGAGTGAGCACCAAGGGACCTCACTGCGTGCTGCCTTCCAGCTGGCCCTGTAAGGCAGAAGCAGCGCTTCCTGACCCTGTGCTGCTTGGGAAGAGCAGGACCTGAGAGCACAGACAGACAGAGGCAAAGCATCTGCCCGATCCCCCACAGCGCTTCCTTTGCAGAGCTGGACAATTGCTGCACACTCAGTTTCAGAAAGCATCAGTGCTAACAGCAGCTTTCTGTGGCATGCAAAGGGTGGAACGCTGTGCTGGCCAACAAAGTGTCTGCACAGTAAAAACACACAAGGCAAGTGCTCTCCTTTAAATGTTATTCCCTGAAGCTGTACGTTCAGCAATCTATTTTCTGAAATGGGGCTGAGGGGAAGACTCTTAGTCTTACCCTGCTCAGCATGTAGCAACAGGCTCCCAATCAAAGTCTGGAAAACAGAGAGGCTGAAATGTTTTAAATAGAAACTACTGTGATCTGCACAGTACAACGAAGAGGGAGTGGGGAGGGGGAAAGCAAACAGTGAAAAATTAAACCAAAAGCAAAGGAGCTGCATTCGGAATTGTGCTCAACGGGGAAAACTTTACACACAGATAAGGAATAATGCACTGTTCAACCCTGCCTCCTCAGAGAGACAACAGTAACTACAAGCAATAGTTGGCATTAAGATTCACGTGAACTTAAAATTATGTGCATGGAAACAGCATGGTATAGCAATGCCAGTAACTGCCTAGGCAGGTCCAGAAGGGTTTTAATTTCATGCAGGGTAGAAGTGCAGGTTTGGATCTTGTTTAAGAAGGAAAACAGAGCTTTTAGGAGTCACAAGTGATGGTTCCTATAGCAGTCAAAAGCACAGTGACAAAAAGTTCACCAGGAATGAGAATGTGTCCTTCAGCTCTTCTAAAGCAGAGGATGTTCTGTTATCCCTTTGGTTAACCCCATCTGCTGCAGCTAATGGCTTGCAAAAGATCCCAGAGGAAAATCATGTTGTGATTCCATCACACAAGGGAGATCCATACGATAGAATCACTAAGGTTGGAAAAGACCACTAAGATCATCAAATCCAGCCATCAACTCATTCTCACCTTGCCCATTAACCACCTCCTTCAGTACCATATCTCCGTGGTTCTTCAACACCTCCACGGACGGTAACTCCACCACTCCCTGGGCAGCAGTGCCAATGCATTGCCAATCTTCCTCAGAAGAGATTGGTGTCCACCTGAATGGCTGCTTTGTCCTCTAGATCTGCCCACTCCTCAGATGTTACATCCATGTTTCAGTAATGAGATGCTGAGATGGTCACCAAGTAGATCCAGGAGAAAGCTCCCTATGGCTTGACAAGACCTGACAAAGCTGTTAGGCCTTTGGAGTTCTCCTATTAATGGTGAGAGAAGGAAATTAAAGTCAATACAGAAAAAAAAGAATCTTCAAGAAGCTTGTTCTTGCTTGCTGCACAGAACTCCAGCAATGGGAAATGTTCATAGCCAGAAGCAGTTCTGGGTCCTTCAGAGGCGTGTATGACTATTGTTAGTTTTTAAATATGTCACTTGTGCAGCAAATGGACACTGCAGAAAAGGCTTTGGGACATGTGGTGCAAGTCAGATTTGTCCGTCTGTTTACACCCAGGAAGGTGCTGGCTGGCAAGCCAAAGTGTTTGGAGACACTTAGCAGAAAGTGCATGGTTGGCAGAACATCCTTCTGCTTCATGCAGCAGAGATGCCTAACAGTGTGCTTCTTGCTTGAGGAGAGGCAGCACAGACTGCTGCCGCCTCCCATGGAGGGAGTTGTGCTTGCTGGGTGCCAGGGGTGGTCTGCTGGGGCTGAAGGCAGAGCTGTGGGGAGAAGCAGCTGTGTGCATGATGCGTATCTTGTGGATAAATAAACACCATTGTCAGTGCTGCCACTCTCTAAACACAGATAAAGACATGCATGCACTCAAATCATTCAGAAAATAAGCAGGAGTGCTGCTCAGCTGAGCCCTCCTCCAGCCCAAGACCAGCATAGTAAAGCTGTCACCCTGCAGTAAGGTCTTATCAGCCCCCTCCAAATTTCTACTTTCACGGAGGGCTCTGTCTCCATTTGTTAATGCATAGACCTCAAACATTCAGGTGACTCAAAAATCGATGTGCATTCTCCTGCACATACAGGGAGGCAGGAGGGAAAGAATAGTTAAATGCAGCAGGATTGAAAATTAGCTTAAAATGTCACAGGCTGTAATTCAGATGGATTACAAGATAACCTCAGTAGTTTCAAGAATGTAACAAGAACAGCCCTAAGCCCTCATAAACAGACCTGCTTGGCCATCTCCATCTAAAGATTGATGCCTGATACGTTTTTTTTCTGCTGAGCTGTGGCAGTGAACCATCCATCGCTTTTTGGGAGGGATCTGTGGACCCAAGGACAGGGAACCCATAGCCGTGTGGGCACAAAACATCTGCAGCTCACTTCCCCTCCTTGCCCTGTGTAAGGCAGCACATGGTGCCTCAGCCTGTGGGACACTGTGATGTGCCCCACTCTGTAGCCCTTCTCATGCAGCACCCTCAGCAAAGCGACACCTCAGGAGGCAGCCCTTCATTCTGGGATGGATTCTGGGGATTTCTCAGTACTCAGAAAAACAAAACAAAACCCAGGCACCTGTGGCCTCTGGGTAGATTGCTGCTTTGCGGCCGCATGCAAGCTGCCCGGGAGACACACCTTGTCTCACTGGAGTACAGATAAGCTCCCGAGGACTTCAAAGGGATTGCTGAGCCAGATTGCAATAGATTTCTGTAGAAACATAATGTGCAGCATATGTCTGAGGAGCTGGAGAAGAGCCGGGGTGGTTTAGATTAGATAGTGCTGTTTGGCTTTTGAGGGGCTCGAGGAAGTGAAGGACACGTAATTGTCTTTTAAAGTGTAATATTTGACTTCAGCTCATCCATACTGCAGAGGGGCTCACAGATAAGCAATGGAAATTATTTCCTTGTGAGGGCAGAGTGTCTGATCTCCCTGAGATCAGTTTTCCATTCAAAATATCACACGCAGGAAGGAGGGCTCGGTTACGTGCTTTTGTTTTGGCCTCTTCCTACTGAGTGGACCCTGCTGCTGTGGACCCCCTCAGAACCATGACTTCCTTTACTCATACGGCACCAGTGCAAGGCAGAGTATTCAGCAGCAGCATCAATGCATGGGAGGTTATATGTGACAAGCTCTTCATCACAAAGGAGCTCGTATCCCAAGAGGTCACACCTGGTGGATGTTCCAGTTGATGACCCTCCTTGCCACCTCTGGCAAAAAAAATCAATGTGACTTTGAGTCTAATGCCAGAGCCACAGCTCTCTACAGTGCCATATCTGGACTGGGGACACTAAAGACTACTTTGAGATAGGGCTATCTCTAACAGTGTTGGCACATATCCAGCATCCAGGCCCTCTACATCTTACAAAAACACCAAAAGAAGCC